GGGCAAACAGCGGCCCCCGAGCCACATGCGGCTCTTTGGCCCCTTGAGTGTGGCTCGTCCACAAAATACCATGTGCAGGCGTGCATGTACAGTGCGATTGAAACTTCCTGGCCCATGCACAGAAGTCGGTATTTTGTGGAAGAGCCACACTCAAGGGGCCAAAGAGCCGCATGTGGCTCGCGAGCTGCAGTTTGCCGACCACTGCTCTAACCAACTGAGCTACTTGGCCAGAGCTATCATTAACTCTTTAATGCTTCTCCAATTTCTCTTTTTAAAAATATGCTAATAAGTATGTTTTGTACATAAATGTTTGCTTAAATTATTTCTTTAGGGTACATTCTTATTAGTAAGGGGCAGAATTACTCTGCCAAACAGGGAACATTTTAATGATTCTTGATACATATTTCCAAAGTGTTCACTAAAAAGGCTGCACCTTTTCCCACCACCCTTGCTAACAATAAATGAGTCTTAAAAAAAATCTACAAAGGATTTTATTGATTTTACTTCTGCTCTGATAGAAAATGTAGAAGATGCAGTACCAGTGGTCAGTAATTTTCCCTGGTTAATGGAATTACAAGTGATTTTCATGTTCATCTTTGAATTTATTCTGTACTGATTTTCCCATAACATGTATATTATTCTGTACTTAAAAAAACCAGTTAAGTTCACAAAAGGACAAATTCGTAAATGTATGAATCCATTTATACGAGATATCTAGAATAGTCAAGTTTATAGAGGTAGGAGATAGAAGTTACCAGGGGCTTGGAGAAGGCAGAAAGGGAAGTTAGTGGATGGTGGCGGTGGTTGTACAGCAATGTGAATGTACTTAATGCCACTGAACTGTACGTTTAACAATGGTTAAATGTTATATTTTATGTTGTGCATACTTAACCACAATAAAAATTTTAAACAGTGAAAGTTATATTTACATATACAAATTATGAATGTTCGTCATAAACATATATAATAGTGAAAAGCTACAAACAACTTAAATACCCACTGATAAGGTGATGGATGAATAAATAACCATATGTCAGACAAGGACATGGATCTGTATTTTTTTAAAAATATATTTTATTGATTTTTTACAGAGAGGAAGGGAGAGGGATAGAGAGCTAGAAACATCGATGAGAGAGAAACATCGATCAGCTGCCTCCTGCACGCCCCCTACTGGGGATGTGCCCGCAACCAAGGTACATGCCCTTGACCGGAATCGAACCTGGGACCCTTGAGTCCGCAGGCCGAAGCTCTCTCTATCCACTGAGCCAAACCAGTCAGGGCATGGATCTGTATTTTGACATAAATAGGCCTATGACATGCTGAAAAAAGAAGGCAATTGTATGGAAAATCTGATCTCATTTTGACTTTAGAAAGGAGAACACGTATGGGCAAATATACTCAGAAGTCTGTGAGTCTAAACCCCGAAATGTTAGCTGTGGCTACTTCTCAATGGTGGGACCGTGGGTGATCCTTTTCTTCCCTTCTACATTTTCTGGCAACAGGCACCTGTGACTTTCCTAATCAGAAAAGCAATAAAGCTCTCTAAAAAGAGAATAAATAAGGTCACATAAAGGACAGCGCAAGCACACCAGGACAGATGAGGGAAACGGAGACTTGTGCACAGCCTTCCCTACTCAAGTGCGCAGCCCTGCTCCGAGCTGGCAGTGGGCAATCTGTGAGGGTGCCTGAGCGGCCAGACACCCCATCCCATGTCAGGCCTCGAAGAGCCACCAAACCCCTCTTACTTAAAGAGCAATAGCGCGGGAACACCTGAGCACATGAGGACCCGGACATGGGAAAGTGGTTTCCGCAGAGCAGGTGGGAGGGGGAAGGAAACACTTTGGAGAGAAAACCAGCCAGCAGCTAGTTAGGCTGTTAGCAGTTAGGTGGTGGCTTTCTCCTTCTGCGGAGCGGGCCGCGGCCACTTTCGCGACAGAGCCATGCCACTCACTCTAAATGCCCAAATTAGTCAGCTGGCTGCATACGCACGGCCAGGCACGGGTCTGCTTGGCGGCCTGGTCTCCCTGGCAGCGTCTGCTGCAAACGGAGCCCTGCATGAGCCAGAGCAGGTACCACTTGCTCTCCACGTACCGTCCTCCCTTTACCAAGACATGCGTGCACGGCTGGGAGCCCAGCCTGCAGTGTCATTAGCCCTGAACTCCCCGTACCAACTGACCAAAGCACCCCAAAGGCTACTGCTGGTCCTAAACCCGGTGGGTCTGCTACTGTCTAAACACGGTGCCCAGACACGAGAAAGAGACGACTGGAGAAGGGACTCTGATTCACTTTATTGCTAGAAGAAATCCAAAGAAGCATGCTACGACCAGATTATATGGTGAGACTTGGGTGAGGTCTTGATTGGCTACTTACTAAAACCTTGAGCAAGTGATAGAAAAATCTTTCTGAGCCTCAGTTTCTTCATTTAAATAATGGGAAAATAATCACACCTCAAGGGGATATTGTGGCAATTAAATGTGGTAAAGCACAGAATGTCTTCCATACGTGGTACGGTTGCCATTAGCCATATATATAAACCTTGGATTAGGCACTTAACTTTGTGAACTTTAACTTTTTCTCACCTATAAAAAGAATTGTTGTGAAGAGAGAACATGTACATAATACATGCTCAATAAATTGCAGCCATTATTATTACTGCTACAGGCGGCACAGCAAAGCAATTTAGGAACTTTTCCCTAAGACAATGAAAGAAAACAAGAGTGCACCGACGATCCCAGAACTGCCTGGAAGGGGCTCCTGGCCTCGTCACTGTTTGGAGTTCTCCAATCAGACTGGTCACCAAGGTGAAAACATCCAAGTGCCCAAGAGAGAGGATGCTGGGAACACAATTGTCCTTGCTGCTGAGAGTAGACACTGGTGAGCCATCAATGGAGGGCACTGGGGTAATATCTACCAAGTAATGAATCACTCTTCTGACCCAGCTACTCCCCATCTATCAATTTACCCTGCAGGTGCGCCTGCACACACAAGGCCATATATTGCAGCATACGTGGTAACAAAAGCCTGGCCACAACTCGAGGCTGCAGGGGACTGGTTCAGTGACCGCTACTGCTCCTGTGCTGGAATACTATACAGAGCTGGGGAAACGAGGGAGGAATCTATGTACTGACCAGGAAACATCCCCAAAAGACACTGAAGTGAAAAAGGTACACAATAGTGCAGTGGTTCTCAACCTTCTGGCCCTTTAAATACAGTTCCTCATGTTGTGACCCAACCATAAAATTATTTTCGTTGCTACTTCATCATTGTAATGTTGCTACTGTGATGAATCGTAATGTAAATATCTGATATGCAGGATGGTCTTAGGCAACCCCTGTGAAAGGGTCGTTCGACTGCCAAAGGGGTCACGACCCACAGGTTGAGAACCGCTGCAATAGTGCATACAGATTTTTTTTAAATATGTTTTATTGATTTTTTACAGAGAGGAAGGGAGAGGGATAGAGAGCCAGAAACATCGATGAGAGAGAAACATCGATCAGCTGCCTCCTGCACACTCCCCACTGGGGATGTGCCCGCAACCAAGGTACATACCCTTGACCAGAATCAAACCCGGGACCCTTGAGTCCGCAGGCCGATGCTCTATCCACTGAGCCAAACCGCTTAGGGCGTGCATACAGATTTTATACTGCCTTGAATTTTGAACCATTTAACTGCTGAACAAATAGGACCTGCACCTCTCTTTCTCACACGCTGTGGCTACACCAACGGAGAGGCGGAGGCCTGCGAAGTTGGCAGAACGTGGCCCAGGAGGCTCCCCTCAGGGCTTTTGGTCTCAGTAAAGCACCTCCCCACTTAAGGCGAATACGCAGATGTTTATCAATCCAGGCCAAACCAATAAATGCCGAGACCAACCTGACAAAGTCTTCAGGAAGCAGGTCAGGATTAACACCCAGGGAGTCAAGCACATCGTTTCGAATCTGGAGCAACAGCTCAGAATCTTCCCCAAAGGTATCACAACTAGGGTCTCTTCCCTTATCCGTGCGGAACTTCAGGAGCACTGGGGAAGGAAAAAGAAGGAGGTTAAAAAACAAGTCTTTTCATAATAAATGCTTGTCGATGTGGAGAATTAAGTGGGGTTTTTTTCATTCTCTAGGAATTATACATTAATTAAAATGTGGGCCAAGTGAAAGGGAATACACTTTTCATTTATTCAACAAATACAGTCAGAAAGGGAATCAAATAATTACCAAGATAACTACAATGACTGTGATGAGTGCCAGGAAAGTATAGCAGAGGGTCTATACTACCCACACGGTGGTGCCGGGTAAGGCTTCCCCGAGGAAGCACGACGGAGTGAATGTGTTTGGGGAGAAGCGGGGAACTTCCAGCAGAGAGAAAAGGCCCGACTCTGACCCAGAAGAGAGGTCAGGAGCGGGAGGCATGCATTCTAGGCATCAGTTCAAAGGGCTGCTTCGGCCAGAAAGGCCAGCCAAATGCTCAGACTCATCAGACAGGCAAGTCATTACAAACAAAACCTCCCTTAGTACAACAATTCGTCAACCTCCAGAAATGAGTGTTTAATTTTGCTTTTGAACCAGAGAAAGGTTGAGAGGATGGCGGCAAATCAGAGCTCCTGTGAAACAAGACTCTAACAAGGCTTGAACTTTTAGCCCAACCAAAAACACACAGGCAGGAGCATGATAAGATCCATCAAATACCAACCCCTTCTACTCCACTGCACTGTCCACAATGGTCACCGCGAGCGGGGCAGGTGGTGTTCTTGTCCCCCACGTGCCCCCAAGGCAGGCGCACGGCGGTCTCTAGGGCCCTCCTCCTCCTTCTTGTCACACAAGAGTGTGTAGCAGCGCAGTCAGAGACAAGTGGATCCCTGGGTGCTATGAGATAGTGCCTCATATCTGGAGGGGACTTTACAGTTTACAAAGTGCTTCCATGTAAATCTCATCATTATTTGTTGACTGAAAAAGTGAACTTATTCGGCAAATTATACTCTCTATCAGTACAAGGGGCTCCTCCCTAAAAATAAAGGTGGACTGAAAACTCAGGCAATTGCTGTGAGGCTCTTTAAAAATGCATTTGGAACTCACCCCAGAATAAGAAATGAGTCCTTCTTTCTACTTGTTTTCTTTTCTTTCTTTTTTTTAAAATATATTTTATTGATTTTTCACAGAGAGGAAGGGAGAGAGATAGTTAGAAACATCGATGAGAGAGAAACATCGATCAACTGCCTCCTGCACACTCCCCACTGGGGATGTGCCCGCAACCACGGTACATGCCCTTGACCGGAATCCGGAATCGAACCTGGGACCCTTCAGTCCGCAGGCTGACGCTCTATCCACTGAGCCAAACCAGTTTCGGCTCTCCTTGTTTTCTTAAGACTCACAGAGTTTTGGTGATGAGCAGCCTGGGTTGAGAACCCGCTCCAAGGAAGAGTACATATTCACTCACTCAGCCAGCAAGACCAAGCGCTCACCGTGTGCCCGGCAGACCTAGGCATTGAAGGTGCAAGGGAAGGCGAGTGAGTCTGGTGTCTGCACATGTGAAGGCGACGGGGAGAGAACAGAGAATTCAGGAGTCACAACAGATGGTCCAAGCCTGAGAAGTTCATAAAGGGATTACAAAGGATTCCAAGAAGATCCGAAACCACAGAGGCCCAGGTAGAAGACAAGGCCTGCTCCTGAGCTATGCCGTTCTCGGTGCCACAGTCAGAGAAAGGCCCCGGTCTGCTTCTCTGGCAACTTTCAAATGCCCAGGTCGGGCTCTGCACATCGCAGGTTTAAAAACGGGGGCGTGTGTACGTGTGTGTGCTCAGGACACCTGTTTTGAACACGGTTTGCCCTCTGGAAACAGGACTCTCCTCTTTTCAAGAACACAGCTCCTAGAACCCTCGATTGTACCGAATCACTTGGCAGTCAACTCAAGGCCAATGACCATTTGGATGCTACTAAACTGATCTGCCTTCACCTGAGCTTAGCTTCTACCTCTGCAGATGTGTTGCTGGAATTCCACTTTGGAGTAAATAAATGCAATCACAGAAGCTTTGGGGGCAGGGTGAGGAGACTGCAGAAGAGGCAGTTAATCCCTGTTTAGACCCAACCTCCTGTCCAACAATGTCCTGTGAAGACAAAGGAATCTGGAACTCTGCTAGTCTAGTCCAGCCAAAGCAGAGGATACTCCGAGCAAACTGCACTGAATGTCAGCGCTGCTCCAATCAATCGCTTCTGAGAGGACAGAACCACAAACCCAGAATGAGTGTCAGTGCTGCCTGAGCAGATGACGGACGCAATGCCAAGTACAGCCGCTCATACTGCACAATTCAAGGCTCAGTGGCAACCACGTGGACAGGGAGGCTGCTTAATTTCAGGCCGTCAGGGTGGTGGACAGCAGTGGGGGCCCCACATGGTGCCGCCCATGTGATGCTCTCACTTCTTTGTCACTGGGACAGAAGCAACAACTGTCATACGGAAGGAAGAAGAGAGGGTCATTTTTTCAGCTCTCACCACAAAGCTTTTCATCTTTTGGCTAAATCTAAGCCCTTGGAGAAAGCTCAAACCCTCCTAATAGTAAAACCAACAGTGCCTAGTATGTGCCAAGCATTTTACATACATTAACACTCAGCCACAATAACCTGGTGAGGTAGGGAGGTCCTATTACTCTCCTTACTTTATAGATGGGCAAACTGAAGTTCAGAGAGGTTAAGTGGCTTGGTCAATGTAACTGTCAATAAGGATTCGTGCAGAAATGCCAACTCTGGCATTCAGACTCGGTGCTTCTTAACCCTAATCGAATCCAGGAGAAATGGCAGGACCATCAGGAACGCAGCCCCAAGGATTCCAAGCGGCCTGGCTCTTTGCCCCTCACCTCAGGGGACTCCCATTCAGCCACATTTTTATGCATTTTCCAGATAGGCCCTGCCCTCTCTCAACTGGGCCATTAATTTTAAGTTACTAATTCAGTGGGTGAGAAGTGAAGGCAGACGCCATACGAAACCTTGCCCATCCATCTTCAGAGAGTAAGACCAGTTTCATCTCAGAAAGAAGTAAGATGGCACTACCAGGAGGAGTGAAGGCAGCCAGCAGTTGGCCCCGCTGTTTCTCTGGTGCAGGCCGCCTGGATGAGGGCCGGCAGGCTGGCACCAGCCAGATACCTCGCTGACCACATCTGAAGGCCTCTCAGGGCCTCTGGGAAGGAGGCCAGTCAGAAGGCCACTTATTTGTAGTAAAGCAAACAGAAGCTGTATTTTTCACTCTTTTTCGAATGTCAGCACTCCAGTTAGTGGGGGTGGGAAGAAGCCCATGTTCTAGACGGGCAGCAATCTCAGAACTGACCCTAGCCCCTGACGAGTTCTTGCTTATTAAATTCTCCTCTTTGTTCTGCTCTCCACCCTCCCAAATAGCCAGACACACACACACATCAGTGTTGACTCTGCATTTCTGAAGAGCACCTCCCCACCAGCTTCCAGATTATAAAACTGTCCCCATTAAGATCAAACTCAGGAATGGAGAGCTGCTCTGCCAAAAGATGACTCATTGAATCGCATCAAAACAGCGCACAAAATGAGAGTCCCAAACCTGATTAACTTCATCTGAACCTTTTAATTAACTCAGGTTGCTGAAGTCCAGGAAAATGACATTTATTGCTACAGATGACAGGCTTGTGTCTCTGCTGAAGTTCAGGTCTTGCCCATGTAACAAAAAAGGCAAGCACCTTTTCATGTACTAAAAGGAAAACTGTGTACATGTGATTAACTACTAATTCTGCAAAAAGAAATGAACTCAAATTCAAATTTATTCTGAATCAGAATACCAGATTGCTATTACTACAGGAATTTGGAAAGCAGTATTATTAATCACTGTATTTCTTTAGACAAATATCTTATTGCATTTAAACAATGTGATTATATTTAGCATAATCACTAAGGTCATCGGAAAAAATAGTATTTTTATAGGAAATAAAATAAAGTCAATGTTGCAAATAAGCCCCAACTCTATTTCTGTCCCCCAAAACAGCTCAATTAAAGGGGAAAGCTAAATCTATATAAAAACCTCATTTGCCTGACCGACAACTAAGGCCTTGTGTGTCAGGTACCCCTGCCTCAGTCTCTGGCGCTCTCCAACCTACTGATAACCCTTCTCCCCACGCCGGCTCCCGTGCGCTCTGGAAACGTCCTGGAAACCAGCTCTACTTCTGTGTTACATAAACTTCCAAGAAGATAGTTATCCTCTTAGACAACTGCCTATCTTCTAAGGCAAAACACTAGGTCTGACATTTAGTTAACTGTTCATTCAATAAGTACGTACTAAGCATGCTCTGCCCCCAGAGCATTTGGTGAGGGTGGCAAATCCAAACTACTTATAAGTTAATAAAAGGCGGGAACCAGAAAAGGAGCTCTGAGTTATGAGGGTGGAATGGGGCAGTCTATGGAGCAGCCAGGCGCCCCCGCCCCCTGCCCCGCCCCCACCAGCCCAAACGCTGCTGCCTTCTCTGCGAGGCCCTTCCTAGGAAGGGGCAGGCAGCAGAGGACAGTAGTGAGGAGCTCGGCTCTGGAGCCAGACTGCCTGCCTTGGCTGGATCCCCTACTTTCCCACTTCCTGTCACCTTGTGACGATGTCCCTGAACTGCTTCTATAAAATAAGAATCATAAGAGCACTTACCTTGCAGGGTTTAAGGATTTCGTGAACGAATCCACGCAGAGCACCTAGGACAGCGCCACGCACAGTGTAAGAATTCAGTACGTGCCAACACTCCAGGATTGTGGCTACTCTTCCCCGGTCGCCATCAACCCAGCTCGCCTGCCCCTTGGAGCTGACATGCTTGTTTATGCGGAACTTCCTCGGTTAACTGAGTTCCCACCACTAATGCAGCTGTGAGCTCTGGAGACTACAGGGACTCTTAATCTCCGTTTATCTTACAATCATCTGTGTAAATTCACTTGTACAAGGACTGGCCTGCCTCTCCCCCCAGATGTTGGCTCCGTGGGGCAGAGACCATTTCTATTTTGTTCACTACTATTTATTTAATGCCTAACGTGAGCGTGCC